CCCTTATACTTGGGAGTGGCTACGTATGCGGCGTTTTTGGGAAATTGTAGTCGGTGAGTTTACTATTTTATATTACTTCTGTGATATTACTACTACTTCTACTTCCTGTTATCTTCTTCATCATCGTCTTTTTCACCAGTAGAAACAGCCGGTTGTTGATCACGTGACTCCTGTGATGTGAAAAAAGTGTTTCCATTGCAGTTTTGCGAAAAATACCAATTTTGATACGGCCAAAAACCACCTCATCCTAGTGTAAAAACATTGTCGAAAAACGTAATTTATTTCGAAATTGATGTGTTTCTATTGAGCAAATTTATTTTCGAAATTCTAATTTGCGTATTTTCATGGTCAATGGAAACACAGCTAGTAACAGTTTTATCAGTGACTTGTTAGACATACTTTAAAAATGTATTTTCTTCAGGTGTTGGAGGACCACCGGACCTCTGGACRCCACAACCCCCGGTCTCCTCGTCATTAGAGTCGTCCACGTCGAGTCAGGAGCACCTCAACTTCTCCACTTCTTCCATCTCTTCAAACAAAAGCCAGAACCAGAAGACGGGGGCGGGGCGATGGAAGACCCCCAACGCGCCTCACATGGTGCCGCCCCATTCGGTACAGGCGCCGTCCCGTTCTGACCTGCCTCCTCCGCCGCCGCCACCTCCCGCCGCCTACCCCGACGCCTACGACCCGCAGGCCGACCTGCCGCTGCCGCCGCCTCCCACCGCCATCAGCCCGGTGTCGGCCCAGCAGGCCGCCGATCGCAAGAAACGAGAGGAGCAGCAGCGCTGGTACGAGAAGGAGAAGGCTCGGCTCGAGGAGGAGAGGTGGGCGCCGTCGTGATGCTGCGTGTCGCATCGAAAGTGACGTTTTTTTAAATTCTTATTATTGATGTTTCAGGGAGAGAAAGAAGAGGGAACAGGAGAGGAAGTTGGGTCAGATCCGGGCAAACCCTGTCATGCCCGTCCAGCCACACAACAACGGAGGAGCCATGCCTCCTCCTCACCACCAGCCCCCCATGGCCTCCATGGCCCCGCCCCAGCCTTATCTCCCCCCTCAGCCCCAGCCTCCCCCATCCAGACCAGAGAAGCTGTCCAGCCTGCCACGGTCAGCGGTGCCTCCCGCCGCCGGTGCGTCCAACCCTCCAGGTGACACCCCGAACATGACCAGGGGTCTGCAACCTGCGGCTCCTGGGCCACATGTGGTCTCTTTGAAGCTTTGACCAAAACAAACAGACAGTTTTTGGTTTTATACTCAAACGTGATCAGTAAAACAAAGAATGACATGTTGATTAGATCATGCTAGTAGCGTGTTAGCCACTTCAGTAATCTGACTTCCAGATTTAAAGTAGGATCTTTCTGTCAAATCCGTCTTTAAAAGACCTTTAAGACTAGCTAATATTAATGATTACAGTTGTTTTCATTGAAATTTGTGTAAAATATATACAGATTGTTTCTTGTTTAGATGAATAAGGTCTTTTCTTTCGTCCTAAAGTGTAAAAATAAAAATAAATGTTAAAAGTTGCTATATGTTTTTAGTTTTATAATGTCACCCTTACTGGACGGACGTGACGTGGCCCACGGGCCACCAGTTAATATCACAGTTGTAGCAGGTGTTGCACCTCTGGACTTGTTTTAATTGTTGCTCTCCTGTTGCTGACGTCCGGGTTAATCTGATGTTTAAATGGGATTTGACTGCAGGCATGGACACCGTGATCAGGGAGCTGCTCCCTCAGCAGCAGCCGCGGACCATAGAGAGGCGAGACCTGCAGTACATCACCATCAGTAAGGAGGAGCTGTCGGCCAGTGACAGTTTGTCTCCAGACCCCTGGAAGAGAGACGCCCGAGAGAAGGCCGAGAAACAGCAGCAGCTTCACATCGTCGACCTGCTGGACAAAGAGATCCAGGAGCTCCAGGTGATTCTGCCTTCAATTAACCCTTCTGTAACCAGGACTGTCATCCATCCATCCATCTGTCATCCATCCATCCATCCATCATACATCCATCCATCTGTCATCCATCCATTCATCCATCCATCCATCCATCCATCCATCCATCCATCATACATCCATCCATCCATCCATCATCCATCCATCATCCATCGATCCATCCATCAACCCATCCACCATCCATCAATCCATCCATCCATCAACCATCCATCATCCATCCATCCACCATCCATCAATCCATCCATCCATC